TCAATGAAAGAAATATACGAAATATAATAGACATACTTAAAGTAATTTCTGTTGGTATTGTTCCGGTAGTGTTAGCCAGTACAGCTAACCCCTTACTAAGTTCTGTTATTTTATGCTGATTTTGTATTAACTGAACATAAAAGCAAGAAGGATCCTCAACATGAGTGATGCGGATCATCTCTGAGGATCCTAGAAATAAAAAGAATTTTTTTACTTTTATTTTATATTTATATTTATTTCTTTTTTATTATTGTATTATAATACTCGACAAATTATTTCTAATGAAAATCAATTACAATTTCTTTTTTTTTTTTTTCTTTTTTTTATAAAGGATCTTAAAGTTAATATTTATTATCTAGAAAGAATAATACGCACCGACAGTAAGAACATTATCTTTTTTTTTAGGAGGATGGGTTGCTTTAGTCTTATTCTTCATGGATTTATCCTTATTTTCTGTGAAAAATGAACATCTTTATTACCATGAATTAAAATTATTTGTCTTATGATCATACGTTTATTTGTAACATTGAAAATTGATATCGAGAAAAATAACATTACTCGAAATGCTAGTCTCTTCAATCAAGGGTTCTATTACATAATCTTCTGGTAGCGAATTTTTTCGTTCCAAGCTGAAGATTGTCGTTTCCGGTATTTGTACGCTGCAGTGTTTCTTTATAGCCTCAATAATGTTATCATCGATGTGAAGTCTGTGAAAAAAATCATTTCTTCGTCTTCAAGAAATTCTATATCTAAATATCAATAAAAAATAACGTTAAATTTTGCTTAAAAATATTTATTTTTTATAAGATCCCATTTGAATCTTTAAATCAATCCTTCCATTAAATTCTTTCAAACAATTTTTTCCATCTAAGAAAAAATCATTTATATCAAATTATATCCTTTTTATTAAATGAACCTAATTTCTATATATATTAAAATGTAATATTCAGACGATTAAATTCGAAGATGATTACATTCAAAGGGAACAAATATTGCAAGAAATATTATCATGAATTTTTACATTAAATTAATGTTCAAAACAATGATAATACTCGTGAAATCTCATAAAGAAAATTATTTGCAAATTAAAACATAAGAATCTAATTGAACACGTATTAAAAGAGAAATCGTATTTCACTTGAATTATGGAATAGCAAGCATCGAGAGAAGAATCAGAGAGTACAGATTCGCTTTATCTGAGAAGAAAATTGAGAAGAAAATAAAAATATAATATTTTGATGGTTGAAAAAAAAAAGAAAAAGAAAAAAAAATGGAAGGGAGGAATATTTCGAAGCTGTTTTAAAACACAACTATAGATACATTCCGCTTTAATTAATTACTTTTACACTTCGTGTGCTTTCTCTACGCTATTTCTATTCCTTTCTCTTTCTCTGTCTTTCATTCTCTTTCCGTTTGGACATTTGTAAGCTGCTTACGAATATAAACGAGAGGATTTGTCCGCCTCTGTACCATCGTCGGTGTCGAGGAAAATAAATTGTTCAATATGCACAGGAGATTTTGATTTATCAAAAACTCTGTACGAAGTTTTTCCATTGTGTCGATAAAAAATCTCGGCACAGAAGAAATGGAAGATGCGACAAGATTCGAGATAAATCGAGATAAATATTGCGTTGATCGATTGAAATGAAGATAAAACTCGTTGATAAATATTATTGTTTATTCCGCTCTTTCTTCTTTATATTTATCGATCGTTTTTTAAAAAAATGATTAGTATTTTAGATGGAAATGGAAATATTGAGATGACCGATATAAATTATTATTTAATATATAAAATATATAAAATAATAAAAAATAAAAAAATAATAAAAAATAGAAAAATAAAAAATAGAAAAAAAAAGAAACGTGTATTTTTAAAAAATTTTTTTTTTTAAAAATTCTTTTTTTGTTTTTAATCACTTCACTGTTTATTATTTATACGTAAATAAATAAAAAAAGGTTTATAAGTGATTATAAGTGGATCATATTATATTATATTTGATTTTTAAGAAACTTCATTTTAACTTGTATACATTACGAAAATTATATAATTAAAATTTAATTCAAATTATTGTGGTACACGTTAAGAAAATAAATAATGAATAAAAATAAATAAATATAATAAATAAATAAACAAAACACAATATATTACATACTTTATCTCTTGGTCGTCTGGCACATTATTTTGTATCAAATGGCAAGGAATATCGGTCAAGGGCTTTAGTTTTTGTATAATCTGTTGAAGATCTATTTTATCAAGACTTTCTGTAATTGCTGTAGTTACCTGAAAAGAATTACTTAATTATACTCAATCTTTTTACAAGTTTTCTTTATTTAATCATCGACATAATTTTCTTTTAATATTAAAAAAAAAAAAAAAAAAAAAGATATAATACTTTTCAACAATGACAATAATAACAATTTTTATTGTTAACATTAAACAATTTGCGATATACTTGTTGAAATTTTTAATATCAACAAATGTTTTGTATTGTTTTACAGCTTTTTCTATTTTTCTATTATATGTGTTATTTTTTCTGCTAGTTTAAGTATTTAAAAAAAATTTAAATGATCTCTTTTTTAAGTCATGACAACCTCATAACCGAAATTCCATATACTAATCGGAGGAAAATCTCGTTACGAGTGCAGTGTTCCCGTTTATTGCGTATAGATCAAACATTATATGAATGAAAGCGGCAGAACTTCCCCCCGTGGATCTAATAATTATATCAATTAAATTGAAATTGCGGATGCAATAATGCTTTGTCTAAAAACATAGATATAATTCAAGCATGAATAGTGCTATATAAAATATAGTGCCAATTTCAAACTGAAAAATATAAGATGATACTTTATGCAAATTGAAATTTGCGATTTTGACAAATCAGACGATATAAATATATATATATATATATATATATTTGATGATATACGAGTTAAATTTTCTCACTAACACAATGTGAAATATTCAATTGTGAAAGATCAAAATTATGAATCCTATGCGTTAAGTTAAATATCTTCAAATTCTGGCCATTTATTTTTATCATCAAATTGTACGTACGATTTTTAATTTATTAACTTCTTATTTCTAAATTAAAGAATGATACATTTCTTTAAATATATAACATAAGAAGAAAACATTAAATATCAGGGATTCTTACCACAATGGCAGACTGCAGTCGTTCCTCGTGTTCTTTTAATTGCGTGGAAATTTCGTCGATATTTTTATTTCGGGAATTTTTATGCGCCCGCAATGAATCGATAATTTGTTTCTCTGCATTTTGAAGGATACCGTGTAGATAAGTGAAATGTTGAGTGACCGTTCCCTCCACAATATCGGAATTTTTGGTTCCTATCGAGGAATAGGATATATTTTTCAATTTCTGAAATGCAAACATGAAAATGGACAGTGATTAGTGTCTAAATCGATGTGTGTATCTTTCAAAAATAATTATTAGTATTCTATTCAAGAATCTGATAAGAAATTCGAATTGAATATATACTTTCAAACATTTTCAGAATTCTTTTGTGTGTAATAAAAATTTGTACGTACAATAAAATAAAAATAAAAAAAATATAAAGTACCAAGAAAAACCTGAACAAAATAAAATTACATGTTAAACGAATGAAAGAAAGAGATTGAAATATAATCAGATGCGAAGAATTCTTTACACGTTCCTCGGAACAAACGTCATCGTTCCAAGGACCAAAAAATCATTTACTCAAAAGTGGCGAGAACACCTTTCTTTTCTTTCTTTCTTACTGAAAAACTACACCAAACTCTTGCAAAGGAGCTCATCTAAAAAGATGATCGAACTTCCAATGATGATTTTAAGGAAATTTAAGAAAGGAAAAATCACCTTTAAAAGTTTTAACTTTCTCATCGAAAAACGCTGTAAACTTTTCTAATAAATCGACGAACAGCGATAAAAATTTCAAAAATCGATCTTGGAATTAAAATTTAAAAAAAAAGAAGAAAAAGTTTAAAGATGGCTGCATCTATTTGCCATTATATATTTCCAGATTATCGTACATGAAATCATACAGGAAATTCTATCGATTCGATCGAATCATGGCGAAGAATTTTAATAAAACATCACAATTCTGTTCAACTCGGATGATAAACGAAATAAAAATAGAGAAATCGGTTCACAACGAATGTTCCCCCCGCGGAATTATACGCAATCTGAGGAGGGCTGATGTAATACGTTGATTGATATTCGACCGGCAGTTTGGGTCGCGTGTTAAGAAATCGAAACATCTTTAGCAATGCGTGCCGAGTATAAATAACTCTCGATGAAGAATACCTGGATCTGAGAATACAAATCTTTAAGATTGAAAATGAAGCTGAAATATTTTACAACCGATAATTCCATAATATTTCTGAAACTGATATTTTCTTTCTTTCTTTTTTTTTTCTTTTCATACAAAATTACTCTCCCACCACTTATATAGCTATATATAATCTATCTCATCTCCATACCACCTTGACCCTTCGAACGAACGAACAAAGAAGCAAGAATAATATCGATCATCAATTCGAGTCATCCTTCGCCTCGAATGATGGATCCAACGCCATCAAAACTGTCCTGTCATCGGTGGAAGGTCGCTCGGCTTACTTTCTAGAGGATCCACCGTGAAGGGAGACGACTTATCCGAGCAGAGCAGAGATCGAGAATGGCAGGGAGCGGAGAAGAGAAGAGGTGGTCAATGGTGTTCAACCAAACAAGCCGAACAAACGCGCCTTTCCCCAGTCTTTCACGTCCCGAGGACCGGTTACCATTCCCGATCCGTCATCGTCGTTGTCGTCGTCGTCGTCGTCGCCGTGTTGTTCACGGTGTTCTCGTCCACCACCAGTGTGTGTTTCGTCCCTCTCTCGAGTTGTGGTCACAGTGTTTACACGCCGAGGATGACACTGGTTCCTCCTAGTCGTGCGCTTCGATCCTAGTCTTTGTTAGGATTTGTGTTTGTCGAAGTGTTTTCGGGGGGGGGAGGGTGGGATCATGCGGGTCCACGACAACCTGTGCTCCTCGCTGGGATACGTCGTGTTCCTTCTGTTGCTCGTCGGTGAGTCTTGTTTTTTCTCCTTTTTTTTTAATGACCATTTTTTTAGTAGTAGTTTTGGATATCGTTTTATTGCACGAGTGTAGTGTATGATGTGTAGTGGGGATGTGTATGATGATAATGCATACATCAGTGGAATAATGGACTAACTAGTTGTTTGTTGCATGTTGTCTGTCAGGTTTAAATTAATGGTCGTATAATTAGTTTGAGCAAAGTGAAATTTTTACGAGAAATTCCAGTCTGATTATTATTCCTTTTTTGTTTTATTAATTATGTAACGAGAGAAGTGCGTATAAAAGTAAGTTTGAACGAACGCGTAGTATTATATGATCATGATGCATCATCTGAAGAAAAAGAAGAACAAGAATGAAAAGCGGATAAACAATTATTAAGAGGATTCTTATTAATCACGATTCAGTGATATTTAATAAACGTGTAATTGCTCAGATTGAATCGAGAGAAAAAATTAAGTTAAATAATTTTTTTTCTTAAATCACTATAATCACTATGATCATGAAAATTCCAACTAAATGAATGAAATTTTAATGGTCGAATAAAAAACGAATATTTTTTTCAAAACAAAAAAAAAAAAAATATTAAATAGACAGAAAATGATTCGTTTGTCGAGCGTTATCGAGGTTGAAATTACGTGCGTGGCGAGAGTTGCGCTTCGAGAAAGGAAAGTAGCGCGAAATATTAGTGATGCAAGTCCATTGTCTCCATCGAGTCCTGGCATTCTGATTGCCAGGCTTTTCCTTCACCGTGTAATCAACAACACGATTCAGACGCTATTTCCAGACCAGATACGTAACAAATTCTCACGAACGTTGTAAAAAGTTGATGACGGCTATCCCAACACGATGGTCCTGATATGGCCATCGTAAAGTTTTCTTATTGTTGGCCAGACTCGATCAATTATTATCACGATCGCGTTACTCGTTTCTCGGGCGCGTAAACCGCGAAAAATCAATCTATCCTTTCCCCCTTTTCTCCATCTAACGAAAGAGACGAGAGACGTTTCTAAAGTGGGTGAACTCTGAGTGCAAACGCGCGAGTTGTGGACGAGTTAGGAAGAAAGCGGCGAGTCGATTGGAAAATTTTTCCAGCACGCACGTCAAATATTCTCCTCCTCCTTCTCCGTTTTTCGTATGAAAGTAAATAGCCGAGAGATCGATTTCTATCGTAACGCGTCAGAAAGTATTTTAAAAATTTCCACGTTTTCGAAACTCGAAGGATCGAAATTGGGGAAAGTTTCGAATTCGAAGTTCGAGATAAGTATAAGTTCAAAGTTTCGAAATTATCACGATTCAAAAAAAAAATCATATCCACGAATATCCATACTCTCCCAATATCTCTTCCACAATTCCAATCACCCGACGTTAGCTTCATAAAAAAACCTGTTTCGAAAATAGAATATTTCGAAAATTAATTTTTTCCAATTCGATTCACAATTATTCTCCTTCAAAAAAAAAAAAAGAGACACAATCAAAACGTAACCAACACACACGAAAAATAATCGCACTTTTCGAATAATCCAGAGAAATAATCTCCTGATGTCATCGTCATCGCTTTCGTTCATCTTCCCCCCCTCTCGATCTTTCAGCAAGCGACAAAAACGCGGAGAAGGAGGAGGAGGAGGAGGAGGAGAGGTTGGAAAGGAGCGGCGGCAATCTCGTTTGCCCTGCTAAATCAGCCGCAAAGAATCCACTTTAACGTGTTCGCGGTTGTTAATTATACTGCGTAAACAGTCAAAGGGAGTCCTCCGAAGGAGGTGGAAAAGGGGGAGGGAGGAGAGGTGGGGAGGAAGTCGCGTCGAAACCTTGTCGACGCTACGAAATTAAGTTCATCCTCGTGCGATCCAACCTCCCTCGTCGAGTTTCCGACTCGACTCTTCTCTCCACCTTCTCTCCAACCGATCGATACCCTCCTCCTCCTCCTCCTCCTCCTTCTTCGTCTTCCCTCCATCCTTGGATCCAACTTGTCGTGGATCATTCTCATAGAGAGAGAGAGAGAGAGAGAGAGAGAGGAAGGGAGGGAGAGGAGAGGAAATTTGTTCGCCCGTTCGTTTGTTCATCGACGTTTAATTAGGTATACGAGTTAAGATCGATCGAGATCCGTAAAACGCGGGAAAACGGGATTAATCGTTGGAGTTTTATCCCGCGATACTTGAACAGACACGCGTTCTCCTCGATCGAGTTGATCGAGACGGATTCGCGCGAGGAGGTTAATAAACGCGCGTATTAATGGAGGTCTCTCTTCTCTCTTTCTCTTTCCCCGTTTAATTCACCTTCCTTCCACTGTAAACTTTCATCTCTACCCCCCTCGATCGAACCGAGCATTCGTGTATTATTCTTGGATATTATTAATGGAATACGTTAGTCTGCCCGAATGCCCAAATGGGTATGGAATCCGTTTGAAGATGATGTAACCTTGCCTTGTGTATGTGTGTGTGTGTGTGTGTGTGTGTGTGTTTTAATGTTCGAGAAAGAGGAGGAGATCGTTTTTTTTTTTAGATGAGCAAGGTTTTTGGAAGGATAGTTATATGGTTTGTTGAAGAGAAGAATATTTTGGGGAACGAATTTTAATTTAATTGTTTTACTGAAATGTGTATTGGAAAATGGATATAAATTTGAAGAAGAGGCTAGGAGGATAGAAATTTTGTTTACGAGATAAAAGTTTAATTTATGAAAGATATATTTCCTTTTCTAGAGAAATATTTAAAAAAAATATTTTTGCTTCAAAAATTTTTCAAAGGATCTAATAATAAGCAAGATTATAATCGATATTTTGCAGGGGACAAATTAAAGAACGTTTTTCGTTTATCTGAAGGTATCCATCATCATTATCGATGAATCTTTTTCACGTGATACAAATTGACAGGGTGATATACCCCAAAATTACGTCCCTTCCATAGCAGTCTTCGAATAAACGCGATTTAAAACGATCGAATAATCCATTTGTTAATTAAATCGTTTCTGGCGTTTTATCAAGCCTATTCTAGCTATTAATCCTTTCAATTTTTTTTTAGAGAAAAGATTCTTTTTTTTATCAATTAATAAAAAACCTTTTTTTCAGACGATCAAATTCGAACGAAGAAAATCGAACGAATTCATATAATACAAAATCAGCAATCAACCAACCAAGGATATCAAGTCCACTTTCAAATATATACGAATAAAACGCAGTTCATATCTCGACAATGATCAATTCGACAAATATATATATATATCATGAACATTCCTCAACTTCTTCAACTTTCCAAGCCACGAATATATATAAACATTTCTACACTAATAATTCCATAATTTTCCATCTAAATTTTCGAATATCGTGAAAATTTCTAATTTTCAAAAACTTTCCAAAATGCAATTATCTACAAAAGACATTTCTACGAACAAAAATTCTACAATATTTCCAATACCAATCGGCAATTCAAATTTCTAAAATATCGAAAAAATAAAAATATCTCTCTCTTTCTAACATATCTTTCTTCAACAACGAGGACTCAACTTTTCGTGGGCAAAAAAATACAAAGTGCCAAGAAAATGGAAAACAACCATATCTATCTATAAATCGAGGACGATGTCCAGAGCTTTCCGGTCTGGTTGATCGGAAAGAGAGCGAGGTTGAGAGAGCGATCCTTGAATGAAAATTATTTCTCGATCTAGACCGAGCAAATGGCCCCACCAACTGGAACGCCTTTCGAATCGGTCGATCGGCCTGGCCAGAGGAGGAAAATATCTCGTTTGTTCTCGGCCTGTGTGCGCGCGTGACTCTGAAAACTCGATAAAGGCGGGTGAGAGAAGCGCGCTTGCTTGCTTGAGCGGCGGCCCCCTCCTCGAGAAGCGGCACCAAACGCCTAATTTGCATTTCGAATGCCTCCCCGAATCGGTGGATAAATACTTGTAGTGGCGGTTCCTCGCGCCCCTTCCGATTTCCTCCTCTCCTTAGCGTTTTAGAACGAGGAGTAGAAGAATCGGGAGTAGTTTTACGAAGGATCATTTTAAAGTGGTGAGCGTTTTAGGAGACGATGATGGGAGATTTGATCGTTGGTTGGATCGTGTAAATTTTTGAAAGGAGACGTGTACTTACGATAACGTTGTGAACGATAATAATGTTGATGAATAATAAAAACGTAGATATGGATTGATATCGATAGGAGACTTTCTATCATTTTTATATTTATAAGCATCTTCTGGGCGGAGGATTAATTATTATTAACAAACTGATCGGGAATGTCGTTTTTTCCCTTTTCAATCTGAGATGCGTAAAACAAAGTGATGATAGAAAGTGTAAATATGTAGCCGAAAACACCCCTTGAATCTCTCTTTGTGGGCAAAATTTTCTGAATCGACCGGCGAGACGAGAGAGTTAAAGACACGATGATTTCTTCAATTAAAATTAATGATGTCGCAACACGGAATCGAGGCAAGATTTAGTACAGGGGAAAGGGATGATTGGATGCGTAATAGGATCGTTATAGGGTGCGTACTTTGCGTTCTTGTTCGATATATACATATATATAATTTGTTATCATATCTTTAAGTAAATAGATTTTCTTCTTCTTTTTTTTTTTAAGAAACTCGTGAAAGATTTGAGGAAAAAATATGGACAAAGATAGGATTTTCGTTTAAATGAAAAATACGATCGAACGAGGAGTAAGAAAGATTTTGCAATTTTTATCGGTTGGATGAAATTCGTTGTATCTCCTCGTGATTTTATTACGCGTCAAATAGTTATTGGAACGCATTAGTTACCAGCCAATATAACCATTTGGAAACTGCGTATTCCAAGCACGAGCTGCGTGCTCCATCGATTTTCTCAAATATCTCCATCGTGATAAGAAGCAACAATAACAATAAGGAAAACGTCAGTGTTAGTTGCCTAATTTAGTTTCAGCGCACAATGTTGGTTGCTTGAATTGTTTCTGAAACAATCGGTGCTCTCTGTGTATAGGGGGAATTCAATGCAAAGTGCATTGGCACAAGCGAGCATATAAATAA